ACTTATGAGACGAATAGTTCGTACAAATTACGTTTTTAATTTAAAACTTGATTCACAGCGACTATATGCTATCTAGGTATTGTGATATAGACTTTTAACCTTATGTACCTAACATAAAAATACTTAGATTCTTTACAATATACTTTCACGAAAGACACATATTATAACAATTCAATCAATTCACCACCGTATTTCGCAATAACGACTTTATTTCATAACCTATAAAAGCTATTTTCGTAGGCAACCTTATATACTTGACTAAATTACCTTCCGTATGTAATAGCCTATAGGCCACATTAGGTACATACAATGATGTCATAATGGGACAATGGAGCTCAAAGTTTAACGTTGGGTCTCCAAATGTGAAGTCATTTATATGTCGACGCCCTAACTTACATGGGAATTACTTCAGTAAATGTACTAGAAATGTGCTTTTGATTATCTTTGAACTAGGAAGGTTGTAGTAGAATAAATTTCTAGTAGTTAAGTTGGATATTTAACTAAGATGAAGAAAATTTGATTAAATCATTGCGGAATGCTATTTAACTCATCGAGTACCGTCATTGTAGACACAATTATAGAACAATAGGTTAGGGTTACCGGTGACCGCTTGGTGTTTGACAGTTTAATGTGTCTTGGTGACCCGGAGGTTTAAGACGCCCGCTTTTCATGCACGAGGGTGCGGGTTTGGAACCTACAAAGCAACGGCAAGTACCAATCTGAATTTTACCAAGTTATATGTACTTTCTAAGATTGTTTAGACATCACTGACAAACGGTAAAGGAAAACATCGTGAGGAAACCTGTGTTTATAATTTCTAATTATAAGTTTAAAATCGCCAACTCGCATTGAGCAAGCGTGGTGATTAATGCTCAAACCTTCTGCGTGTGAGAAGAGGTTTAGCTCAGCAGTGAGCAATTTAGACAATAGGCTGTAGATGATGATGATGATTTAATTTGAAACGAAAATGTAAACTATGTATTTAATAATGACGTTTTTTGGCCTACATTGTCCTGTCATTTCCAAATCAGGAATAAAACCCAAAATGCTGTCTGAGAAACTAATAATGACTCAACCAACGTAAGAAATATTTCACTGTACTCTCTATACTATAAAGTTTATTTAAAAACCTTTTAGATATTTCGAAAGCTATTTTTCTCTGCAACATGAAACCGGAAAATTGTTCTATCAATATCGAGAGGAAATCACTCAGCAAAGAGGAGTCTTTGTTCCCTCCCAGGCTGAAATATTCCATCGTTCGCTACATTAGACGGAGGCCTGACGTCACACTATTGAAAGACTATGGTGCTCAAAGTTTTGCTTAACAATAATGGGTACCGATTGTAAGCCATTGTTGTTAGGGTATTTAGCCGACTTCAAAAAAGGAAGGTTCTCAATTTGACGTTTATGTATGTAATGTTTGTGCGCGATTATCTCGCAATTGGCTAAACCCATTTTGATGCGGTTTGCAGCAAATTGTTTGTTACACTAAGGATAATGTAGGTTTTTAGTAAGTATACTAATTAACGGACTTCAAAAAAGAGAGCGTTGAAATCAGTTTTTCTTAACGTAATGTATAAATATTTTTTTAGTTTTTTGTGTCGTTACTATATTTAGTAATGGTAAAGATTTGCTTCTATTTTTTATTTATTTATATGAATATACGTTGTAATGTAGTGTATTGAGTGCGGGAGAGTCATGCTTCGGCACAAATGGGCTGGCAAGTAATTGGATTTGAACAAATTACCTGACCTCATGTCCCCCACAAGAGATGTCAAAAATAATGGCGGTTTTAAAAATGAAAGTCTAATTGTTATGATATTCGTTTCTGTTTTTGAAACGAAATGCTTCACAGTGAGATCTAAATAAGGTACAGATAGATTAAACATCTTTGCAATGTATTCCCATAGAAAATGTTTTGAAGTTTCTTTCATAAACACTTGAAATTAACTAAATCCTATTCTAATTTAAGTCCTTCAATTAAATTTTAAAAACACTGATTACAAATTCAAACCGCTTACTCGACTAGTAAAAATATATTCATTTAATAAAAACAATCACAATGGCAATAGAATCTATTAACCAAATACAATATTAGTTCTAAAATATTCGTCTACTTACAGTGAGTCACCCCCACTTCGACCCCCTTGTTTGAACTTTGGGAACCGCTTGCAGACAGACGCCATATTGTCGCCACAAACAAACATACATGTTTATGATGTCTAAACGAATTGTAATAACGGAATTATTTGTAAATGGTCTGAATATATATGTCTAGTTTAAATAGAAATCTTTGTGATCGATTTTCTTGATTAAGGGAAGGGTTCAATATCTTCTTTATGCTTTTTTTTGTGGTACTTAGTTGTTACATATTATGTTTAACAATAACTGTTACAATTTTTAACAATTTACTTAATATTTTTGTGGTAAACAGGTGAGTAAAAGTGGTTTTAGTGTAATAGTCTTTTGGTAACAAGCAACATAGTATAAATAACTAAAAGTAAGTTTAAATGGCATTATTTATAAAAAATCTGTCTAATTATTAAAAAATAGGACACCATACTAAAAAAAGTTAAAATCTTTATTCTTGCAATCAAATCAGTAACACTTCAAACCCAAACAAAGTGTCTTCTCAAAATGATTTAATCCCCATCAAAAACCAAAATTCGTTTAGATCTTCATAATAAAAAAATTGCAAAAGTATTCCATTTTACATGCAAGCCAGTATGATTGGAGTGGCTAGACTTTGGCTCCATGCCAGGAGTCAGGAGTTTTCCGAAAGAGGGAAGGAGGGTGTAAGAGGGCGCCACAAGCTTATGATTTAACTCAAGCTTAAGAGGGTTTTCCCTCAGGATGAATTTGCAATTTATAATTTCTGTTTGTTTTAAAGTCTAATGCAGAGGTTTTATGTAATGAAAGGAAGATGTACTTTGGTATCTTGGTTAAAATATAACGATTCTGGTCGATTACATTCATCACGTCTTTATTGTTTTAAAACACAGTTATATTGGAGCCTATGTAATATATGTTTTTTTATTTAATGTTGTCAACAAAACCCAGTAGCATCATCGTCCGACTCGAGAATATAACCCAAGAGGTATCGGAGAGGCCTTGCCCAATCATACATGCGTTCCTTTTTTATGGAATCAGCCGGTAAACGCGCAGACGGATTACTTGATTGTAAGCAATTGGCGCCGCCCATGGACACCAGACGCGTTACAAGTGCGTTACCGGCTATGGAATTAGGAATTTGAGGATTGTTGGGAATTCGGGGATTGGGGTAATTGGACCTTCGGTAACCTCACTCACATGACGAAACACAAGCACAAATGTTAGAAATGCCTTCGTTTAACTAAAAAATCTTATTTAATCCTTTGACTACCGACAGACAACTGTTGAAGGTAAATCCTCCGCTATCATGGCCCATACCTTGTCCTTTGGCTGTTGCAGTGAGACTGTACAGTCTCACTGCAACAGCCTAACATGATATTATAAGCAAAAAGTAGGTAAGTAAATAGTGCTCAAAAACGTGTCCCTAATCCGTAGAACCTAGCCTAACAGTTTAGGCATTAATCTTTATATAACCGTCGCGATGAAGCCGTACAAGTTACCTAAAATGGCTGCTATCGTCTCGATCAATATACTTCTATAATAAGTTTAAGTAATATTGGTAACATTTAATTCTTAGAGATAGGGATAGCTGTAAATTACAAATAACACCTATTTCTTATGATTAATAGCTAACATAGGTCATTCAAGGCTCATTTCTAGAGTCCATGCTTTTAGAAAATTCCTAAAATATCTTGTTCGTTCCGACAATCAAAAAGCATTTTTATTGAAAAGAGTAACTACTGAATTTCTTGCTCGTTCTTCTCCATTCGAAACTACATTTTGGAACGAGCGCCTAGCTTCACTGACAATTCAATTTTTGACGTTTCAGAAGTGCCTAATTTAAGTTTAATTGAAATAAATGCTTTGACTTTGATTTTGAATCGAATCCGAGATCTCGTTCGTGACGCTTGAGATCACAGAATGTACGACAGTTTTTTCTTGAAAAGATACGAGATAGACTGCTGATTTGTATAAATTTTTGACAAAACTCCATACAAATGATTAATGTCAAAAACGATTTTTAATCTATAGATTTTTATTTCGACCATTGTACGTTAACTCTATCGATAGGTAGGTTATTGATAGAAAGTACATACGATAGAGTTGAATCTGAATTTCAGTAGTTTCATGATACTTATTACTTTACATCTCGAGATCGAATCCCAGGAGAAATCACAGCACTCCGCGACTATTGTTACCCGATGAATTCGTTATTAAGGGTCTGAATAAGTTGTATGAGACTACTTAGAAATAAGTGTTTTTTTACATATTTCAACATAACATAACATCACGCCTTTTATCCCCGAAGGGGTAGGCAGAGGTGTACATTATGCCACTGTACAATGTAACACCGACTTTTCACTATTTATGTTATGAGTCCCATGTAATAGGGGGTGAGCCTATTGCCATATACCGGGCATATACATATTTTAATACGATGTTATTTTTTAAATATTCGATTTTAATACCAAATACGTGACCACAAAGCCTGTGGTACAGATTTAATTCTATACAGGCATTGTATTGTAGAGATTATTATACTTAGATTAAGTATATGTGAACAAAATGGAAATAAATATATTTGTTTGTTTAATACCCTTATTTACGCCATAATACTGAAAGGCAATAGTAAATCGTACTTAAATACCGTGCCATCTCCGCAATTTACAAAAATATTGTAAAATTGAGTGCCGTTTGAGTATTTAGACATTAAGTCTTCTAATTTGGAATAATAATGTTAAACAGAACACTTTGAGAATACAATAAACAGTTGTGGTTTAAAAAACCATAATATTTTTTATCCCTTCACCCAAAATGTGACACAGGCAATTGTTCAATAATCACAAAGAAAAACAGCACTTATGGTATCAAACTTAAGGTCTTCTTACCTTATCTACGGGCATGGAAGGGCACGCTCGGCACAGGTTCCAGAATGAGCCGATCATCTGGGCACGCCTCTAGGCCGGGAGTCTATGGGCCACTGGTTTACGCCCTAACTGAGCTGGGCTGCTGGTGCATTCGCTGCTGGAATAGAAGGTCAGGAGGTTAGAAGGTGGAAATATTAAAATAGGACAATGTGTTCAGTTATGGAAGGATTCGATTGATACAGAAGGTTCAGAAGTTTTTGCGTGGAATACATATCACATACATACAAACTATCACATATAAAATTGAAGTGGAAAGGATGAAAACGAAGTTACTGTATCTTAAGCATGCGTATATCTATTCAACGAAAGGAAAGCAAATGTAGGTATTCATTGAAACCAACTCCTAAAATAAACGTCATTACGCTTAAAATATCACAAATATCATCAAATCCCCTGCCTGCCTATTTGGCCGAGTTGTTGCAAGTGCGACTGGCCAAGGAGTTTCGGGTTCGATTCTCAGGGCGGACAAAGTATTACTGGGTGTTTAAAAAAATTAAAGTGTGTGTTACATTGTACAGTCGTATAATGTGCACCTCTGCCTACCCCTTCGAGGATAAAAGGCGTGATGTTATGATGATGATGATTAAAAAAATCTCAGTTCTAGCACGAAGTCTGGTACTGTGGCTGGTATATGGCAATAGGCTCACCCTCTATTACATGGGACTCATAACATAAATAGTGAAAACTGGGTGTTACATTGTACAGTGGCATTGAGTGCCGTAATGTGCACCTCTGCCTACGCCTTCGGGGATAAAAGGCGTAATGGTGAGAGAAGTTAGCTTCTTAGTATTTTTGGGTCTAAAATCTAGACTATGTGCCATACAAAGGTTAAGTACTAACTTTGGGTCGTTAGCCTACCCTACATTAAGGCCGCCTGTCTAATGTAGGGTTCAAAAGTAACTGGTAATTATAATTTAACCAGAATTTAATTGATAAAAGTTTAGGGACCAGGAATGTTAACAAACAGAACAGTGTAACTTAAACTGTCAAACACCAAGCGGTCACCGATGACCGCAACCTATTGTTCTATAATTGTGTCTACAAAACCGGTACTCGACGAGTTAAATATGAAAAACAAAATTCTGAATACGATGTTTGGTTTTGGTAGCCAATGTAAACCACATTGGCTACTGAGCTTGACATCTTGATTTCGATTCTTGAGTAATGCAAAAGTGTTAAGAATTTCGTTTGAATAATTTGTACGATGCCCTGGCCCTGAGGCTTAAAGCGCCAGCTTCTCATGCATGAACCGACCAACGGCAAGTGCCAATGTGACTTTTTCCGAGTTATATGCATTATCTAAGATTATTTACACGCCATTGACAAATGAAACCTGAACTTATAATTTGTAATTAAAAGTTTGTAATCGCCATATTTCTAAAGACAACCGAGCATCCTTTTAACCACTTCATCATCAGAGAAATCTCTCAGTTGACTATATACCAGAAATTGCTGAACATCCTTTGAGATAAGTTGGCAGCCTTCCAAAATGTCTAGCCGTGTACCCTTCGTAATATTTTGCAATTTAAAGTAGAAAGTTTCAATAGAGATGTATTTGTAGATAAAGTAATGTTGATTTAGGATAAAGTTTTCAAAAAGATAGGAGTTGGTAAAACGTCTGACTGAATAATTTTTAATTGAATAGCAGGCAAACAAGCCGATATTCACTTGATGGTAAGCGATCAGCGTCATCCATGGAGATCTTCAACATGAAGTGTAAAGCCTCTGATGTTGAGGATCTCCATCAGCACTTGCTTTGCCAGCCAGTATTCAAAGAGGTTTTATTCTATAAGTGGGCAAACGAGCAGACGGATCATTTGATGGTAAGCGATCAGCTCCGCTCTTGGATACCCGCAGCGACAAATAATTTAATAGGACCCTATTACTATAAATAACTCTGCTGTCTGTCTGTCACTAGCTTGTACCTTATATTATATTTATGGCCGTTAATCGTCCCTAAACAGTCTCTTAACTAAAAGTTGCTTAGTATGACATAGCACCTAAAGTGATCCCTGACCTGTACTGTTTAGTGTCACTTAAAGGTAGATGAAAACCAAAATGTTGTTAAGTGTAAAAATGTATTAGAGGTTCGTGAAATCGAACATAGTTAATGCTCGCTTTCTTCTCTTTGAATATAGTCAGGCTATTCTGCAATTTTAAATTCGAAAGATTAAAGTTAGCTCGATCACGGTCATTGTTTGTAAGTATAATCTCGACTAATGGTGTGCGAGAATGCGATGAAGCTCATTTTAAAAGTTCGAATTCACAGATGCAGAATAGCCTAATAGGCCAGCAATGCACTTGTGACTGCTCTGGTGTTGCAGGTGTCCATGGGTGGAGCTGGTTGCATACCATCAGGTGATCCGTCTGCTCGTTAGACACTCAAGACACATTTACTACAATTTTAGAGTGTGGGAGGCACGAAAGGGCCGGCTCGACACGCCAGGAGTGATACCACGGCCAAATAACGCTTGCGTTGTGTTTCGTCGTGTGAGTGAGGTTACCGGAGACATAATTACCCCCCCCCCCCCTTCCCCAGTGTCCCCAATCCCTGAATCCTCCACAATCCTCAAATTCCCAATTCCCAAAAGGCAAGTAACGCACTTGTAACGCCTTAGTGTTTCAGGTATCCATGGGCGGCGCCGATTGCTTATCATCAGGTGATCCGTCTGCTCGTTTACCGGCTTATGCCATAAAAAAATAACTCCCTAATAACCTAATACTCACACCGTATACGAGGCGGAAATTTCCATATGAAACTAACTACTCAATTTACTCACTCGTGGTTTTGCGACTAAACTTTGCAGACTCGATTTAGTTACAGAGTTAACTAGTTGGTTAAATTTAGGTAGTATTTAATCAATATTGGGTATTGGACCACATCAAGTTAGCGCTAAATTTGCGCACGTTGGTACATAATAAATCAGATATTGATTACTGTGCTCTCGATAAAGCCAACAAGATGATCGGTTACCGTGTTATTTGGTTAGGAGACAAACGAGCAGATGGGTCACCTGATGGTAGGTAATTCACAGTATCCATTTTTTTTTGAGGTCCTAAACTTATCCCATGACTTCTCTCGCCTGGGTGAGACGAGAGGGAGTGTCAGCCTCTTACTGACCGTGCAGGAGAAGGAACGGGGTTGTTTTTTTTTTCAGTAAGAATCTGACACTGCCTCCCGCCTCACCCAGGCGGGAGCAGGCATTCGATGATTTTCCCCCTTAAAAAAAAGCCTCTTACTGACTAAAAACCCATCCCGTTCCTACTCCTGCATTTCGAACCGGAACCCCGGCAATCCGTTGAGTCCTCCGCGGCTCTATATGGTCAGTTGCAACACCAGAGGAGTTACGAGTGCGTTGCTGGTCTTAGTACGCTCCTATTTATAGTTTTTTTTCCACTTACAATTGTTAAAAATAATTTCGTTTAGTGATAGAATGACAAGCAGGCAATAAGCAACCAAAACTACTTCTACTTCTCAAAGGAAGTTGAGAAATATTTTCGCGTTTTTATTTTTAGTTATTTCAATAAAATCTTTTTTATACATTTGATGGGTCGACGTTTGACCTCTATTTCGCCTGGTGGTAAGCGATGATGCGGTCTACGATGGAGCACGTCGTCCCATAAGCAATCTATTCAATCGGGCCTTGAAGACACATCTGTCGGTTACTTATTGATTTTCGATAGTGACATAATAGACTCACTTAAAATAAACAAAAATATGACTCCTTGCGATATTGACAGAGTCTGTAGCCACAACAAAGTGTTAACTTCTGTCTACCACAATAGCGTCTGATTCATCTGATTGCAATGTAAGAAGTACAAAAGTGCTTTTTGTGACTATAATTATTATTGCTGTGGCATTGTAATCACGTCTGTTTTTTGTCGAAGCAGACTAGAACTTACAGCTTATAGATTTACGTGTCTTTTTTTGTCTAAGTATGACAGGAGTAAAGTAAAGTATTAAATAAGCTATGCAAGGAATTAAATTGCAAACTCTAAATCATTGTGCAATTCCTTGCACAGAGAAGGGATAGAAGCGCTCTTTGATGAACCGGAACTTTTTAACTATGATCTTCAAGCGTGCAGATTATAGCATATTCCTCCTCCTTCCTCCTCCTCATCATCATGTAGAGGAGGGTCTAGTTCAGCAGTGGACACAGGCGGAATAATTCCAGACTTTATGCTATCATTGAAAATTAGATACATGATAATATTACTTTGTCCAACACAGTGTTCAAACTACCAATCTTTGACTGCACGTTTGCTGCGGTGGCTGGGCAACTGGTTGCCGCGCAACGTGTCGCAGGTTCGATTCCCGCACGGAACAACTCTTTGTGTAATCCACAGATAGTTGTCTGGGTGTCATTTGTATGTGAACTTGTCTGTTTGTAAACGCACCTACGACACAGGCGAAAATCCAGAAAAAAAAATAAGGGAGAAAATCATCGAATGACTGCTCCCGCCTGGGTGAGGCGGGAGGGAGTGTCAGACTATTGACTGAAAACCACCCCGTTCCTTCTCCTGCACGTTGAACCAGAGCTCCGGTAACCCGTTAGGTTTTTCTGTGACTAAAATCCTAGTGTGGGGCAACATTTTAAAAACAAAAAACTAAATCTTTCGATCAAAATAAGTTCAAATATTTAACTTTCTTTTCTGAGATCCCTGTTTATGATAATGCCGTGATATATAATCGTTTCGCGTGGCGTGTTCTAATTAAACAAACTGATTTGAGTTGTCAGCAAATTATAATTAGCAGGAGATAATTAATTGGTAGCCTCGTTGCTGTAGTGGTTGCGTAATGGAAGTGGATCTCTAGGTGTTGTGTTTGACGTTTGAGTTGGTCATTAGATTATTTATAGTGGAGTTTGGAATTGCACATGGTAGGTAATCGAGAGTATAGTCTCAATCTGTAAATGTTAATCTGGGAATGAACATAGGCTTTGGTGTTGGTATGCTCAATTGCTGATGAACTGAACTCATATTTGTTATTGTGTTTACTCTCTGTAACCAGTCGCGCAGCCGCGCCGCCAATACACCATACACCTGACATCCGAACTGGTCGCCTCCCCAGATTGGTTGCGCAACGAAGTCGGCGCC